GTAACGTAAGTTCTGGAAGGTCATGTTGTGTCAATCTCCTAGCATCAACGTCAGCTAATAAAATTAAATGTTAATATATTTGAAAAATCTTCAATTATGTTTTTGTCATTACAAAAGCAGAGCTATCCCTCCCTAAGTTATTAATTTACTAACTCATGTTAAGATGACTGTGCCTTTATGAATTAAAGTTTTCATTTATGTATTTATGTTTATTTGTTTATACATTAACAGATTCCTAATCATCAAATTTTTGATCAAAAGACTGATCATAACCAATGCTGATGTTGCACCTTCTGGAACCATGGACTTGAGAAAACCCCCAGGATCTCTTCTCTTTGCCTTCCTTTTTTCTCTGCTTGCATCGGTGTGGACTCCTAGAATATGTGACCTGCCTCGAGAAAATGCAGTTTTCAAAAACAGGCTCAGCATTCAGCTTCCAACGAACGAGAAGACATCTTCCAAGAATAGAAACAATTACTTTGGCTTGCTTTTGAAAAGGCAAAAGCATTTTCTTGATTCAGTTGGAAAGATGCCTGCCTTACTTTGCTTTTGTCACAGAGCAGGGTGCTATTGTGAGGCCATCTCTGAGCAGGGGACTCAAAAGCATTTTCAGGCATGTCAGAGAAGGGAGGACTCACTAGAATTAGGAAACAAAACCACCTCTGACATACTCCCTTAGGAATAGGGGGATCAGGGGTCAAAGCACCAGGAGGAGGGTGCATTCCCAAAAGACGACTGTATGAAGAAAATGTGGAGGAACTGTTACATGTTTGGTACTAAATCATTACCAGGGGATTTTGTGAAATCCCCTGAAAGACTATTGCTGGATTTCATGATGCTGACTCGTGTTAGCTGATTAACCCACATAAATAGGCACTTAAAGAGAAGCAGGGACGGGAGGAAAAGACTGGCTTCTGGACTTTCTCCCTGATCCCTACCCTTTTCATATCACCTGTAGTGGCCAGAATAGGGAGCCAGAATTGAACCAGTGTAATGCAGGGCTGGCTGCCATTGTCTGGTCACACTGAAAGTGTTGGTTTTATTCCAAATGTAGCTTGTGCAGATGTAGCAGCAAAATAGGAAAACTTACCATCTCAGTGAGCACCAGCTGCCTCCCAGAGGGAAGGGCAGATGTGCTTAAATTTTTATGGTTAGAAAGGCACAAAGTTATTACCAACCTAACTAAAACATTCCTTTTCTCTCCTTTCTTCTGAATTATGGAGTTTTTCAATTCTCTCTTTTAGAATAGGTTCTTGAGCATTCTTTTTTTTTTTTTTTTTTACAAATGCTTTACAATGTAAAATATTTATTTTTTACCTATTCTGGAGGATCTGTCTGAAGGATTATTCATGGAACAGGAAGAGGCGGAAGGACTATCCATATCATCTTTGTTATGAGTCTTCATGACTGTAAGATTGTAAATACAGATTATTTATTAACTCTGTTCTACCTGGAATTTAGGTTTCGTATGGAAAGTGATTGAGAGCAGGTAGTTGAGATGTATCAGCAAATCTCTTGCAAAAATGGCACAAGGAAAATCAGCATAACTTTGTGCTTCATTTTGTGCTCAGAGTGAATGATTTGGAATTCTTTTTTTTTTTTTCTTTGTTTCGTCTTTTCAAGTGGAATCCGTTGGTTGTCCATTAGCAAGTTTTTTAGATTGCAAAAAAAGCCATGAGCTCTTTAATCTGTTTTACACCATCCCTTGTGCCTATTTCCAGGGAGAAGAAAAGCATATACACTTATCTTTTTTTTCATTTTTCCAAAAGAGAAAAAAAATGACAAAGGTGAAACTTATATACAAATATTACCTCATTTGTTGTGTGACTGAGTAAAGAATTTTTGGATTAAGCAGAAAGAGTTTAAGTGTCTAACAAACTTAAAGCTACTGTAGTACCTAAAAAAGTCAATGTTGTACATAGTATGAAAGTTCTTTGCAGAAAAGTATTCCCAATAAAGAAAGAGCATTGAAATGTTAAATACAATTTCTGAAAGTTATGTTTTTTCTATCATCTTGTATACCATTGCTTTATTTTTATAAATTATTTTCTCATTGCCATTGGAATAGATATCTCAGATTGTGTAGATATGCTATTTAAATAATTTATCAAGAAATACTGCCTGTAGAGTTAGTATTTCTATTTTTATATAATGTTTGCACACTGAATTGAAGAATTGTTGGTTTTTCTCTTTTTTTGTTTTGTTTTGATTTGTTTTTTGCTTTTTATCCCCAAGTTTTTACTATTTGCCAATACCTTTTTCTAGGAATGTGCTTTTTTTGTACACATTTTTATCCATTTTACATTCTAAAGCAGTGTAAGTTGTATATTACTGTTTCTTATGTACAAGAAACAACAATAAATCATATGGAAATTTATATTTATACTTACCGTATCCATGTTTGTTTGTTCTCTACTAGCTTTATATTATGAGGTATGGGTAAATACCATTCTTAAACCAATATAGCATACACAAAAAGAAATCACAGTGTGTAACAGTAACATTCACAGTTCTCATACAAATTAGAAAGACTGAGTTGCTCAGGTTTAGGCTTAGAATATATATTTGCTGGATTTATGGAATAAAAGAACAACACAATAAATTAGCCTGCCATTTTAAAACATATAAAAGAGAAATGACTCCTAAGTCATGGGGCCCAGAAGAATACAATTTCACATTTTATTAATGTCATTAGATGTCAATTATTGAATCCTTTTCAAAGTTCGGTTCTGTTTCTAAAAAGAACAATGACCACAAAGGGAAAAACAGCTGTGAAGCACATGTAACTCTCGCAGCCACATTTTCTGACCTATGAATGATGGCACCGGATGGGCAACGTAACTGCACATTGTAGAGAAGCATCAGGAGTGTGTAAGAGGGAGGAATTGTCTTTGAAAAGCTGAGCCAGGCATTATAGGTATCTTTTGGAGAATGAATAATACCTTTGGTCAAAAACAGATGACTAAAAAGAAATGTAAAATTGAGAAGGAATGCGTAAGAGTGTGTGTGTGTAAATGTCAAATTACTCTGTGAAGAGAAGGCCAAAGGGTTACAATAAGCAGACCTTGAGTTTTGGATGGGCCAATCATAAATGTAGAATACTGACGAATTAATTTCTAGTTTTAATAAAAAGACATCAAAGAAGAAATCTTATGAGAAGATTAAAAGTCTGGCTTTGAGGTCTGTTAAACACTAGAAAGGACTAGCTGAATGAGACAATGTTTCTCCCTTGTTGATTTTTCTTTCTCATTCTAAAAACATTTATCTATCTGGGTAGCATGATCATATATAAATGTAAATTGCCAAATAACTTCATAGTGCCAAAGTGACAAAGCAAGAACTAGAAAGTGTTGGTAATAGTTGTGGAGTTAGGAAAACGGTTCTAAAGAAATAATTCTTCAAAGCACACCGACATGATTGATTCATAGAGTAGTTCAACATGCAAAGATCCTGGGAGAAAATTCTAATTCATTTTTAGGTAGTGGAGCAAAACTGATTGAAATCAAGATGAGACAGAAAAAGTGGCTGGTAACAGGAGCTTTTGTCCCAGGCACATTCTATTTGCACTCCAGGATTGACCTTTAAATCAACAGCTTATACTGAAATAAAGGACTTGTTACAAATTAAAATTACGTCCTGGAGATGATAGCTTTTTCCTCCTACAAGAGTTTATTGTCATGTGTTTTGGGAGAGTGAGATTGAAGGACAATAACTTTAGGTCCCAGGGGAATTTACAATAAAGGTGACACCAATAAGTAGTTTTTTAAGAATTATATGTTTTAAAAAAACTTCACATTTTAAACTACTAAATCCATTCCTAAAATTAATTAGCTCTCTCTCCTCTATACTTTTTATTATGTATCTCGTTCTGAAGCACTCAGGCCTAGAAGGAACCGCAACATAAAAACGCCTGTTTTTAATTAAGAACACATTCTCTCTAAATCGGGGTTACTTTCTTTTTTTTTTAAGTCTGAAGCCTTAGTGTTGAATTATATTATAAATTCAGTTGACCAGTCCTTGTTAGAGTTACCTTCAGCTGACATGCTAAGGAATGGTGTCACCTTTTTTAATGGCAGAACTCATTACTTAAAATCACTTTTTTCTTTCCCCTTACCAAAACTCCTATAACAGAAAGGCTCAATATGCCCCAAATACCATTTGCAGAAGCATACTATAAAGTCATAAGATTTTTGTACTGCAGGTCTAGAAATAATTTCTGTCTCTGTTTCTCTCACTCTCCCTCTTCCTTCCCTCCCCCTGTCTCTTCTCTCTGCCTCGCTATCTTTCTGTGTCTCTGTGTCTGTCTCTTTCTCTCTCTCTCTCTCTCTCTTATACACACACATCAAATACCAGGAAAGCATGGATTTAGAAAGCTGAGCTCCTCTGAAAGGCTGATGGACAATGATGGCTCCTCTCTGTCCCACTCCAAATTCCCACCCATATCACCTCTGCCCTCTGATTGTTCCTACCCAAACCCTACAGCACACGGGAGTGACATGTGTCATTTCTATGAGAATCTAAAATCATGGCTTTTAACTGCTGCTGGCATACCACAATGAAACTTTTGGCATCAAGATAAATTACATTGTATCCCATTGACATCAGCATGAACCATCATTTTATATGAACAAACAGTAAACTGAAATAGAAGGGCTCGAAAAAGAAACTGCCTATATCGATACTCTGAAAATAGTAGCTATGGAATTCTTCATTTTTAAAAGTCAAGGAAATTCAACGGAAGTAATCATTAATGTTATCCAATATCAGTGGATGAATGTGTACCAGAAAACTTAATAATGCTACATTACATTACTCTAAATTTTATTAAAGGCAGCACAAATGCCAGCTCATATTTTGAATCAGAAACAAATTGGACTTCTAGTTCTAATGGGAATTCATCGCATGAAGTGTTGACATAAAAATTTCTCATGAATCGAGGTTACTGACTTATAACTAGAAAACCTCTATTAAAATAGTACTGGAGACTTTTTTTTAAGTAGCTCATCTTTATTTGATGCATTCTAAAAGGCCCAGACTCTGAAACTGCATTCTAAAGGCCCGAACCGAGAGTATTATACCAAAAAACTCAGTTGAACTTCTACTTACAAAAAGTATCATCACTAATAAGATAGCAAAGCCTCCCCTAATGTTTCTTTGTTGAGGAAATTCATTTCTTCCTATGGCAAGCTGTATTTATTTAATAGGCAGTAGACAGGTGGAAAGAAGGAAAAGCAGGGCCAGAAGAAAAATGCATAGTGGCCACAATCTGTCTGAATCACAAGTTGAAACATGTAAAATCAAATTCAGAACAATCATGCCACTTCAACTAATTTTAACATAACATACATACATTAAAATGGTTGTTATAATTATCCCTGATGTTGCAAGACTAGCAATAAATTTATAAACAATTTTCCCAGGAATTTCAATAAAGAAAAACCATTAAATATTTACACCCCAAGACACAAAAGTATCAAGGAAATGTAATCCACAAGTGAGAATCCAAATGTCAAAAACATTATTTGAGCAATACTCTCTACGATGCAGTCATTAAACTCAAAGAATTCAGGAAAATCATGTAATTTAACTTAATCACCAACTTTCTTAAAAGTACATCCGGGCGAGTCCTTGCTTAAAAGTCTTTACATTCTTCTACCTCATCTGTAGTCTCATGTTCATCTGTACATAAAAACAATAACCAAAGTTGTTAGACAATCTAAAATGTGTGCATAATTAAGAAAAATAATTCAGCCTATAAGACATTTAATACTCTTACACATGAGATAATAATCACATTCTCATTTAATATTTATTGAACATTCACCCAAAAGCTACCCATAAAGTTTACAAGAAAAATCAAAAGTAAAGTGCCTGCCCACATTGAGCTTGCAGCTGAGGAAGAACTTTTTGGGTTTTGAGAGCTAAAATGACCATGGATTTGGAGACAGACATCAAAATTATTTTTTTGCTTTCTCCTAAGTTTGTGAGAAGTAGGGTACAACCAAAAGTAAATGTTATATGTAAGGGAGGTAAGAGCTGATCACCTTTCATTTCTTCCAAGTGAGAAAAAAATCATGACACTGATGAAAATGGAGTGGAGATACTTTTCTTCTCTTAGTGAGAAGGTTATCAGAAAAGGCAGAATTCACAACAGAACCAAATAAAAGTAGACAATAAAAGAGAATCAGGAGAAGCTGGAAGCCTCGTTCACTACTGATGGGAATGTAAAATGGTGTAGTAGCTTTGGAAAACAGTCTGGCAGTTCCTAAAAAGGTTACCATTGCCAATTACCACTCCCAGGTGAAATTGGGCAATTTCACACGCCCAAGAGAAATGAAAACATGCATGCACACAAAATCTTGTAGACAAATATTCATATCAGCATTACATGTAATAGCCAAAAAGGGGAAACAACCCAAATGTCCATGGAAAATAAAGTATTTCACATAAAAACTTTTAATACAACTGTGAAGCAAATCCTTATTTTTCAATATCATAATTTAAAATCGTCCTCAATATCATTAGGTTTGTTTCTTTCTTTCTTTCTTTTTTTTTTTTTTTTGAAGCCTTATCTTACTACCTTTTAGAAGCAGAATTGAAATACTTGGAACAGACCTCACTTTATCAAGGAAAAGAAAACTACATATCAATAACATTTGCTATTGAAAGAGAAAATGATAAATGGCTTTTTTTATTTCTGTCCTGTCTGCCTATAGAAATATAATCTCAATCACATTCATGTCTTTCTATTTCCTGAGAAACTGCCAGAACATAATGTAACAGCTGAACACATAGCAACTCCTTGTTATAGGCACATCTTTAAAGGGTTTTTTGCCAAGAAAACTGGTATAGCATTCAGTTTCGGCATTCACTTTTGTAGAAAGCACATAACGTACAATTTAGTATTTTAGAATAAAACTGACTAGCAAGTTATTTTAACTATTGTAGATGCCTAGGTTAGTAAAACACCTCCAACTTCAGATACTCTAACATGTACCCAAAATGATAAACGTAGGACCTGTTCCTTAGAGTTTATTATGTAATAAGCAGAAAGTAAAATATGGTTCACAAATTCACACCTATTCCAACTTAATCCTCTATACCCACAAGGGTTAATTGTTATAATCATGTATTAAGATTATCTGGTATGATCATAAGGCATGTGTTGTGCCTCCATAGCGTCTTTCCATTAAGTCACATTAAGTTCTGGTTCATTCCATCTTGTCATGTTCAACTCTGTGACAGATATACATCAATGCCACTCATGTTCACATGTAAATAACTTGTATCTTAGCAAAGTACTTCTCTAAACCTCCCCCCCGACACACACACACAACTAACCCCATGGAAATGAGACCCCATATACAACAAACCATTGCATCAAATTTAGTGTTTGATTACAGTAGACAAAGAGGAGATTCAGATATACCTTCTCTCTAATAAAAACCCTTTGTCCAAAAAGAAAGAAAATACACTGCAATTTTAGAGTAGAACAAAGTTTCCATAATTTATTCATTATATGAAGACCGCTGGTGGGGGAAAGGCAGACCATACCCATCTAACTAAATTGCATATTGTAAGTGAATTCTGCAGCTGGATAAAAACATTATATCTTGAAGTTCTGGTTAGGAAGATGGTAGAATCAGGAAGATCATCTTCCTGACTAGAAGAAACAAAAAACAGGAGTTTTCCAGCTCCTGTCCCAGACCAAAAAACAGGAGTTTTCCAGCTCCTGTCCCCCTCATAAAAATCCTACCAACAACTATCCACAGACAAGAATACCTTTATAAATATCCCTGAACTTGGGAAGAAGGCTGAGACACCTCCTTGGACCAAAGGACTGAGAAAAGCCACATTTGAAGAATAAGAGGAATGGTTTCATTTTGATCACATTGACCCCAACCACCACCAAGCTGGCACAGGGCCACACATACAGAGGACTCCCCTGGGCCCACAGTTTCTGCAGTGGGAAAAGAGAGTTGATGGCAGACATTCAGTTTCCCCACCATTCTGGAACCTTTCATAGAAGGCCCACTCCTTTCTCGCCCCACAGGAAACAGTGGGAGTACTGGCAGGATTAGACTTCCTGGGGTCAGTTGGAAACAAAGCACAGTGGCCAGCACACAGATCTTGGCAATGGCTCTGCATTTCAGCCAACAGAGGCACTCTACCAGGGAAACTAACCAACAGCATCACTCTGCGGGAAGCATGGTTGACAGGTCTGCCAGGCTCCAGTCCCTAGCCAGCTTCCCCACCCAGAATTAAGGGTGATCTCCTTAATCCTTCACCAGGCCAGGAGGCAAGGGCAGGTCAGCAATTATCCAAAGAGGGGAGCATCTGGCCCCACCCAACTCCAGCAGCCAAGTAACAACCCCAACAAGCCTTGGTCTTCTTCCTAAGCCCTCCTCAGTCCAGGAGGCAAGTGCAGGTCAGCAAATATCTGTGGAGGGAAGCACCCAGCCCTGCCTATCTCCAACAGCCAAGTGGTAACCCCACAAAGCCTTGATGCTCTGCTTAACACTTCCCCAGAGCAGGAGGCAAGTCCATATCCATGCATTTTGGTAGAGCATAGCCTATGGCCTTGCCCATCCCAAGTGGCCAAGAAGTGACCCCAGAGACCTCACCCAGCCTCAGAGCTCAGCACACAGCCCTTCCCAGCTACAGATTACAAATAGCAGTACTGCCTAGCCAGGGAAGAAAACCTGCAACCCCGCCCAATCAGAAGCTATTACAGAACTCTGTCAGCAGTGCCACCTGACTGCAGAGTCCAGCCAGTGTTCTCATTGGACTGTGTAGCACAGCCAGACATTTCACTACCCCTCAAAGCACAGGCAGCAGCCCAGCCTGAGAAAACCCAACAGCAAGGTCTGCTGGCCTGGGGTCACGACCAGCTGACACATCCATAAACCCAGGTTACACTAAATAGTGAAGGTCTATCACTGCCAAAGAACACCTGCAAAGGCTGGAAGAGGTGGCCATTTATCCAATGTGAGGACACTAATGTAAAGACACAAGGTTTACAAAAAAATCAGGGAAACATGACACCATAAAAAGAAACTAATAAAGCTCCAATAATGAACCCTGAAAAATAGAGATCTATGAAATGAGTGACAAAGAATAAATAATCCTCTTACAGTAGTTCAAGGAACTACAAGAAAATACAAATAGAAAATTAAATAAAATTTGGAAAACCATAAACAAAATGAAAACTTGACAAAGATATAGAAACTATTTTTAAAAACAAACAGAAATCCTAGAGATAAATAATACTATAAGTTAACTGAAAAATTCAATAGAAAGTTTCAACAGGACACTTAAGCAGAAGAAAAAATTAGAGAACTTGATTTCAAGACACTTGAAATTATACAGTCAAAGGAGCAAAAAAAAAAGCAATAAAAATAATTTTAAAAAGTCTATGTGAATTATGGGACACCATCAAGAGAACTAACTTTCAAACAACAGGAGTGTCAAAAAGAGAAGAGAGAGAAAAGGGCCTAGAAATCATATGTAAGAAAATAATGGCTGAAAATTTCCCAAATCTGAGGAAAGATAACAACATCTAGGTACAGGAAGCTCAGAGGTCTCTAAATAAATTCAACATAAAGAGGAGTGCACTAAAACATATCATAATAAAACTATTAAAAATCAAAGACGAAGAAAGAACTCTGACAGCTGCAAGAGTTAAGAAACATGTATTAAGAGAATTCCAATATGGCTTTCAGCAAATTCTCAGCAGAATCCCTTAAAGGGAGTTCTTTAAGCCAAAATTAAAGGCTTCTAATTAATAACATAAAACATACACAAGAAAAAAGACTCAGTGATATAAGTGACACATAGTCATATTCAGAATACTCTAACACTGAAGTGATTGCATATAAAGCAATTTTATCTCTACTATGAGGATTAAAAGATAAAACTACTAAAAACGACTGTTGCTACAATAAATTGTTAAGGAATACAAATAACAAAAGGTTGTAAATTTTTTGACATCTAAATCATAAAAGGTGGGAGAGAGGAAATGACAGTGTAGAGTTTTTGCATGTGACTAGAGTTAAGTTATCACTTTGAAATAGCCTGTTATATGTATAAGTTGTTTTGTTTTATGTAAGCCTGATAGTAAACACAAAGCAAAAACCTATAGTAGTTGTACAAAATATAAAAGAAAAGACAGTAAGAGGAAGAAAAAACAAAGAATCTAAAACAACCACAAAAAAAAAATTACAAAATGGCAGTAGCAACTCTTTACCTATCAAGAGTTACCTTGAATGTAAATGGATTAAATTCTCTAATCAAAAGACATAGAATGGACGAATGGATTTAAAAATACAATATCTAACTATATGCTGCCTATATGCTGCCTACAAGTGATTCATTTTTCTAGTAACTACACACATAGACTAAAAGTGAAGGGATGGAAAAAGATATTTTACACAAATGTAAACCAAAAGAGAGCAGGAAAAGGGGTAGCTATACTTATATCAGGAGAAATAGACTTTAAGTCAAAAACTGTAAAAAGAGACAAAGAAGATCATTATATAATGATAAAGGGGTCAATTCATCAAGAGGACATAACAACTGTAAATATATACATACCCAATATCAGAGCACCTAAATATATAAAACAATTGTTAAATGATCTGAAAACAATCATTTAAAAATCGACTGCAATACAATAATGA